ATAAATACATTCTAGTTAGTTAACACACAGTGCAAATATTGGTTTTAGTAGAATTCGGTGATTCATCGCTTACATACAACACCCAGTGCTCATCACAAGTGCCCTCCTTAATACCCATTACCCATCTAGCCCATCCCCCACCCTCCTCCCTCCATTAACCCTCAGTTTGTTTACTATTGTTAAGAGTCTCTCATGGTTTATTTTCTTCTCTTTTTGCCCCCTCCCGTATGTTCATCTGGTTTGTTTCTTAAATTTCACATATGCATTCTTAATGGAGATGTAGATTTGTAAAGAATTTCTTGTAGGCAATATTGCAGCATCTACCACAATTTAAAGCGTTCATATCCTTTGATCCAGCAGTTCCATTTCTAGGTACCTAATCTACATAAATAATCACATAAGTGGGCAGAGATGTAGGCAAAGGCATGTCCATTTCACCATTGTTAATAATAGTGAAAAACTAAAGGCAGTGTAAGAATTGGCCAACAAGAGGACGGCTAAGTAAGTTGTGGAACATTGAAATATCATCCAGCCTTCAGGCAGATAAGGCAGCTCTATAGATGTAGTTGGACGTGCTGACCTAAGGAGATAATAAAAATGCTTTTTCAAGGGGAGAAACAAACTATAGAACAGTATGTGTGGTATGATGACCTTTATGATTTAAAAACTGCCACTATGCATGTGTGTGTGTGTGTGTGTGTGTGTGTGTGTGTAAATTCATTGGAGTTCTGAGAAAAAATGTGAAATTCCTATTGCTTGTGAGCGTGGCACGGGCTTATACATGTGGGTGAGAGAATAGAGACTTTCTTCTTATTCTCTGTATACTCCTTTGTTTTTTGAAACCCCTTTACAATCAAAATGTGTTGTTTTTGTAATTTTTAAGTTTAAAAAAAATGAGAACTATGTGAGAGACTGCAGATTTCTGAAAGTTCCCAAAGAAGAATCCTGGAAGCAGTAACATGTTTGTTACATTAAATTTACACTGTGCTTCTGTGATGGGAGGGACAGCATCTAATGCGTGCTGTGTGGCCTTGGGAAGGACACAAAGTTTCTGAGTCTCTGGGGTTTTTTTATATGGAAAATGTAGATAATACCTGCCCTGTTCGTTTTCATCAGTTGAAAAGATAAAATAGAAAAGCAGTTGAAAAATTATAAAGCCTTGTAAAAATGTGAAGGATACTTAATACTTCATGTGCTAGTTAATGGCCCAGTTGTTTGTCAGTAACATCGAAATTCAATACCAAGAGGAGAATTTAGATGATCTCTTTGAGTTGGTTTTAACAGAATCCTTTCTGTCCCAATTAGGTCCTACATAAAAGCAATGTAGGCATTGTACTTCAATGTTCTAGAGAGTTTTGTGTTTGTATAAGACATTCTGGTGCAGATGGGTTTGGGCAATAACCTTACATCATACTCTTCACGCCACCCATTTCAGGGCCAGCTAGCTTGGTTGTAGCGAATTAATTAGAAAGCTTTTACTTAACACCTGCTTTGTGCTTAGCATTCACCGTGAGCAGGCAGCCAGCTATCCAAGTTTGCCTGAGACTGTTATGTTTTACACTATCCCATCCGATGGAATGGCTAACAGCAGTCTATTCACTCTCAAAAGTGTCCTAGTCACGTATGGGGCATGGAAGGAAACACAGGAAGGCCCTGGCTTCAAACACCAGTCTTAGAAATTTCTTTCCTGGGGCGCCTGGGTGGCTTAGTCGGTTAAGCGTCCGACTTTCGCTTAGGTCATGATCTTGCAGTTCGTGGGTTCGAGCCCCGCGTCGGGCTCTGTGCTGACTGCCAGCTCAGAGCCTGGAGCCTGTTTCAGTCTGTGACTCCCTCTCTCTCTGACCCTCCCCTACTCACGCTGTCTCTCTCTCTCTCTCTCTCTCCTAGAAATAAATATATATATATAAAAGAAATTTCTTTCCTGGCCCCAGCTCTTCACCACTGGAAAAGCCAGTATTACATTCATGGATCTTTTAGAGACTTACTGGACTCAGAACCAAGGCTGAGAAGAGCTGATGTGGACCTCCAGAGAGATGCCCCACAAGTTACCCTCCTCTACAAAACTTCCTCCCTCAGACCATTTCTCTTTATGGCATTGCCTCATTCTCCTGGGATTTATGTGGGGTAGCAGGGGGGAGCAAGCGTTCCATTAGCGATAGTGTGAACAGGTTGGGGAACGTTTATGGTCCTTGGTTTTTTCCCCTCCTAACATGGAGCTGATTGACTGCTTGTACAGGGAAAGGGGACTGGAAGAATCAGGTTGGAAAGGAAAAGGTAATCTCAGAGCATGCGTTATGCTGGTGAATAAGACCCTACCTCAAGGCAACTAAGGAAATCAAGAGGCCAGGGGGCCATGAAAGTTGGGAGCAGGAAGGAAGGTGGGTGTCAAAAACATGCAGTAATTATTTTGGGGAAAAACTGTTGTGCTCAACCCATGTCTTAGGAAGGGAGAGGAATGTTCTTATTTGGCCACCTACTGCCCCTTTCTCCTCTTCCCCTGTTCTATATGGCCCAGTACCCAGAATTCACACTAGTGGCAGACTATGTGCCACGTAAGTCTGGGAATGAGACTTCCATTTAAAGCATCCTGCTTTGGCAGAATGTGTGTTCTTGGATTCAGTCAATGGGCTTACCGGTACATTTTGCTATATGCCTTTCTTTCCTTATTTATTTTTTTAAGTTTATTTATTTCTTTTGAGAGAAAGAGAAGGTGCAAGTGGGGAAGGGGCACAGAGAGAGAGAGGGTGGGGAGGGAGGGAGAGAGAGAATCCCAAGCAGGCTCCACACTGTCAGGGTGGCGCTCAAAGCAGGGCTCAAACTCATGAACTCTGAGATCATGACCTGAGCTGAAGTCGGATCCTTAACCAACTGAGCCACCCAGGTGCCTTAGTATATGCCCTTTCTTAATTTGGAGCCTGTGTGTATAAGACCTTGTCTCTGCCTTGGAGGGGCTCATAGCTATTAGATTTAGGGGAACCCAGTTAATAAATAGGAAACTACTGGAGAGCAATCAAGTGCCAACCGTGGGGTATTGGCTCTAAGTACAATGCAAATCTATCCAAGGTGGAGCCCAGAAAGGGGTGATATGCAGGTTCATCAAAGCTTTCACATAAGACTGCATTGCTGATCTGCCCTAAAAACATGCATAGACAGCAAGAGGATGGAGGAGAAAAAAATTTATAGCTTTTTTGTTTGTTTGTTTTTATTTTTGAGAGAGACAGAGACAGAGTGCGAGCAGAGGAGGAGCAGAGAGTGATGGAAACACAGAATCTGAAGCAGGCTCCAATGCGAGGCTCGAGCTCATGAACTGTGAGATCATGGCCTGAGACGAAGTCGGACGCTTAACCGACTGAGCCACCCAGGTGCCCTGAGAAATTCTAAGCAGTGCTGGAATTCAGCCGGAGCCAAGGTGTGGCACCAGCCATGGGCATGGACAAGAGAGGCTGTGAGAAGGAATCAGGCCTGATGGAAGCAGTGGGAATTTCCTAGAAATTCAAGTTCACAGAATATATCGCTGCAGCGCATACGTGTTTCAGAGCGACCAAGACAAGAAATCGTGGCAGCATGTTTCAGGGTGGGCCATTTAACGTGTCTGAAGTTCAGAAGAGGTGAGGGTCAGATCTTGGAAAGTTAGGGAATCCAGATGAAGGACTTTGGTCTTGTTGGAAGGCATTCGTGATGGTGTTAACTGGAGATGCTTAGTGAGGGCTGGAACATCAGGAAGTGGCTGGCACACAGGATGAAGGAGGAAGAAGTCAGCGAGACCATTGAGGAAGCTGCCACAGGAGGCCAGGGTGGCTGGTCCCTGGCCCGGGGTGGAAGCAGCAGATTGGTGAAAGGGCAAATCTGAGAGTCACCGCGCAGGTAAAAGCAACAGGACTTAGAGATTGTGAAAGAAGAGCCAGAAGAGGCCTTGCTGCATCTGAACTTAAACATGAGAGGGACACTGTTAGTGAAGGCTTCTCACCTATGCAGCCTGCCATTGCCTTCTCGGGAACCCCCTTTCCAAAGAAACGCTATTGCACCTACTCAGTGACCTCATTCTGCAAAAATTCAGATTATCAGGTGAAAGTCTTTATTATTGTTATTATTTAAGGTTATTTATTTATTTTTGAGAGAGAGCGAGCATGAGTGGGGGAAGGGCAGAGAGAGAGAGGGAATGAGAAAATGCCAAACAGGCTCTGTACGTCCAGCGCAGAGCCCGGTGCAGGGCTTGAACTCTTGCACCATGAGGTCGTGCAGGGTTTGAATGCTTGGACTACGAGGTCATGACCTGAGCTGAAATCTAGAGTCTGAGGCCTCACCAGCTGAGCCACCCAGGCTCCCCTCCAATGGAAGTCTTAAAGCGTTTATTCACTCACCTTATTTTGCAAAGTTAGGTGGGTGGGGTGGGTGAATAAATGCTACAGAGTTTCTAACCAGGGAGGCAAAAGCATACTATTCATTCCACTGCCAAGGTAGTGAGAACCGCCAGGTCTTCAAAAACAGGTGTGATGTGTCCACAGTTGATTCACACAAGAAATGAATACTTCTTGCTTCATAACCCCTGTGTCCTTCCTGTGAACCCCGTCTCCTGAGAAAATCTCAGAGCAGCAATTTACTAACTTAATTTGTAAAAGGAGGTTAGTGAATACATACTGTAAGACTTTTTAATGGAAATATTTGAAATTAATTAGCCTTGTTGGCTTTTATTTGTATAGGCTCACTTCCAACCATATAGTCCCCCCCCCAAGTTTAACTTTTTAATAAGATTGATTTTAAACAATAAAACTTAGAGAATCTGTGTACAAAGAGCTTGAAGAATTTAAATACATGGGTTTATTATTAACATAGTAGCAAATATACCAAGGAAACACGCCCCATGAAAAGTGTTTCAAAGAAACACAAATGTGCTGTGAGAAAGGAGTATACCCAATACGTAAGCCCGAAGAAGCTGTTTGCTTCGTGATACTGGCAGATAAGCCTGGCAAACCTCGGTGTGATTGAAGAAGCCAGTCTGAGACTCAGCCTAGCCCAGGCAAGCTACTGGCCCTCTCCTGAGCTCAAGGAACCTTGACACAATGGTGTTCGCATTTTGGAAGGTCTTTCTGATCCTCAGCTGCCTTGCAGGTAAGGGAAGGCTCTCCAACCCATCAAAGATGATTGGGAACAGAGTTTTCTTTTAAAATCAAATCGTGAATTTCTACATCAGTGTTCTCGTCTTGCGCTTCAGAGGAATTATGATTCGTTCGCGGAATAAAACAAATGTCAGAACTCTAGCTTAGCAAATACAGGCCGTGTCGTAAATGTAATTGTTTTATGTAGTATCTGAATTAAAATTTTTTTTTCTCAGAAAAATCACAGTAGCTTTCCTTGTTTTAATTGGGAAGGCGAACAGATTAATTTACTCAGAAGCTGAAGTTTGCGCTACGGATAGGTTTTTCTTTTTTTTCCTGTTTTAGTTTTTTTATTGTTTCCTTTAAGGGAACTCACTGTGATCAACTTGCTTTGCTACAACAGGCAGAACCTGGCTTGGAGGGCCTCTCTCTAAGATTTCTTTAGGCGTTCCTGTTTTCTAAGCCTAAGACTGTATTTTGCAAAATCTGTGAGTGATTTATTGTTGTACATGGTCTGGGTGTTTTTAGGGATCTGAGCAAAACAAAATCATTTTTAGAGTCAAAATCCTGATGTTGGTTTAGACCCAGGAGGGATCGCTAATTCAGAAAATCCCTTGGCTCATGTTTTCAAATACCATATACATTTGAATCTGTTTTTATGATGTTAGCTAGGTACAATAATATTATTTACAGTCATGCTAGTATTGTTAAGCCATTGGCCATATTAGGCAGTCATTAGGATGAGGTTTACGAAGCATATTTAATAACATAAGAAAATGCCCAGGATAAAATACTAAGTGAAAGAGCAGATACACACATTTGACTAGAATAAATTGCTAGAAGGTTATATACCAAAGTGCTCATGGTGAGTACTTCTGGCTTATGGGACTATAGATGATTTTTATGTATTCCCCAGCGTTTCCATATTTTCCGGGGTTTCTACAAAGAATATTATACTACTTGTATAATTAAAAGTGCTACTTTTCAAAACTACATGGTTGTTAGTAATAGTTCTCTAGATGTCCATTACTAAATGTTTAAACATACGTGTTCTATGGAATCGCCAGAAGGCAATATTGCATCTATCCTGTGATCTAACCAGGACTCAGAGCTAGAACGGGCCACCTTTCCCAGCTTCTATCCTAATGTGACTACGTCACATCACAATTTTCCCTCTCCCCCAGGAATATTCATTTTAAACCTTAACTTTAGACAGTGCAAGTCTTTGTTCCTTCTTAAAGATCTTCTAGTCGTTAGCTAATTTGGTTGGCCCTGGGTCTTCTGCACCAGCACCCTGAAATCACACATGTAGTAGTCAATATCTGTTTCCTTGTGTGAGGACTTATGCAGGCCTACACTAGACAGTGGTTTTGGAATAGTTTTTTGGAATGGTTTTTACTGTAAATAACTAGCTAACTGACTAGCTAATAGTCATTTAGTATATATATATATATATATATATATATATATATATATATATATAATTTACTGATTACAAATGTAGTGTATGGTCATTGTGGAAAGGTTGAAACTACGAAAACATAAATAAGAAAGTAAAAATCACCAGTAACCCTACCATTGAAAGATTTGGGTGAATTTCTTATATATATATTTTTTTCCTTTGCAAGTATGTATATCACATTACAAAATTGGGTTTATACCTTGTATACATTTTCCTATTGTTTAAAGAATAACTTAGATGATCTCAGGATTTTATTTGATTGTGTGACTTTTAGAACAAGTCAGCGTGACCAATAAGTACTTCAGAGCCTTTGTTCTTAAATGACTGTATAACTGGTTTTGCTGGCATGTAGTGTATACTCCGTATCTATACAAAGACAATTTAGCTAGCCCATAGCAAAAGATGATGGTGTCAGTCTAGCAGATGGAATGGAAATATGGTATAATATATTATTGCTTACATACATATGGAAGTCTGAGAGAGGAATATTCCAGTAATCTGTACCTGGCATTGGTGGTGTCCCTCAGTTGATCCAGATGTGGCTGTGAAGCGATTGTAATTGTTTGTCAATGTGCAATTTGATGTGCTATCTGGATTTCTTTCCTGGGTAGAAAGAATGTCCCATTTTTTTTTGGTGTCAAGCTTGGTGCCTGGCACATAGTGGGCTCATAGTAAACGTTTGGTGAAAGAATAAATCATCTGAAATGCTGACATTTGGAACAACATGGATGGACCTTGAAGGCATTCTACTAAGTGAAATAAGTCAGATGGAGAAAGACAAATACTGTAGGATAAGTGGAATCTACAAAATCCCAACTCATAGAAACAGAGTAGAATGATGGCTACCAGGAGCTGGGGGGTGTTTGTCAAAGGTTACAAACTTCCATTTAGAAGATGAGTAAGTTCTGGGGATCTAATGTACATCATGGTGACTCTAGTTAATAATACTGGATATATACATGAAAGTTGCTAAGAAAGTAGATCTTAAACGTTCTCACCACAAAAAAGAAATGATAATTATGTGATGTGGTGGAGATGTTAGATAACACTATGCTGGTAATCATTTCGCAATATGTAAGTGTATCAAATCAACACAATGTACACCTTACACTTACACATTATTATATGTCAATTATATGTCAGGAAAGCTGGAAAAACAAAAGAATGAATTACCTTCTCAAGCCTCAAGCATTCAGGAATAATTTTCACTTACATATTTAAAATCAGTTTTCTCTACAACTAAGCAAGACAGATTTTAATCAGAATCTTTCTGTATAATGTTATATGTCAATTATGCTATAATAAAATTGATTTGATTAAAAAATCTTTCTGATGACTTCTTAGGAAAACTTAGATTAAATTCTATTGCAGGAAAATCATTTTCATCAAAAAAGTCTTCTGAAAAAAGTTCACACATATTATTTTAGATACTTGTAATATATATTAGTCACCTTTTAAGAAGATATGTTAATGTTTTCATTTTCTGGAGGTGCTCTGCATTTTAAAGCAGTAATATACTTGAACTTCGGTGTCGCGGTCAAATCCAAAAAGTAAGTGATCCTTTGGTTATATTGTAAGTCAAAAATGAAGCAAATATTTGTGAAGTTGTTGGAAATTAAATCATTTCAAATGCATCATGTTAAATATGGTTACTTGAGGAATATTTTTGCTCTGGTATATTAAGAGAATAATTCCCCTATAAGCAAAGTGCCTGCCATATTGTAAGCATTAAGTACTTGGATGAACAATCACTACCAAAACGTGAGCCATTAAAAAAATCTCTTAAAAATCATTGGTGAATTTAAGTAAAAAGCATATACTTTGGATTAGCTTCTGTTCATAAGTAGTGATTTTTAACAGCCATCACGCATATTTCAACCACGTATGTGTTGCTTGTTTGGCTTTTTATTTATTTTTTAAAAATATTCAATTTGAGAGAGAATCTCAAACAGGCTCTGTGCTGTCAGTGCAGAGCCTGACATGGGGCTTGACCTTCCCAACTGTGAGATCACAACCTGAGTAGAAATCAAGAGTCAGCGTCCCTTGTTTTGCTTTTTAATCCAGCCAAGGTAGTGAGGGAAATTGCAGTTCTGAGTTTTGTTTAAATCAGGTACTAATCTTCATGTTGCTATTTATTCACAGTCTTGTTAATATAGAGATTTTTCCCCCTGACTTTTTCAGTTTTAAAATAAAATTCAGTTTAAAATAATGAATAAAATTTATTTTAAAAATATTTAAAAATAAAATTGACTCTACATTTCCCAATGTAGAGTAAAATTATCCAAAGGGAGGGACTTTTTTTTTTTTTTTACCTATCACTCACAGAATCACTTTCCATTAACAGGAAATTCTACTGGATGGGCTAGCGAATGATCTCAATGGTTTAAGTAATGTATGCTAATGGAATCATGTGACATATCTTGTACATATATATTTTTTTAATTTTTTTGAGAGAGAGCTAGAGAGAGCAGGAGTGGGGGAGGGGCAGAGGGAGAGAGAGAAAATCTTGAACAGGATCCACGGAGCATGACTTGCGGCTCCATCCCAAGACCCTGGGATCGTGACCTGAGCCGAAATCAGGCGTGGGACGCTCAACTGACTGAGCCGCCCAGGCTCATGTGACATTTTTTTTTTTTTATGTGACATTTTTTTAAACGTTCATTTGGAAGTATGTAGCTTTTGGCTCTGAAGTGGACTGTTGCTGTATTGGGATGGACAATTTCTGAACACCATCTTTTCTTCACAATTTAAGGATTGATTATGGTGCTGAGTGTCAGGAATCAGGGCAATAAAATGGTCTGGAGGTATTGTCTTGCCTACTGTTACTTGTTTACAGGACACTGTGTAGTAGTCTTAGAAAATACTGTCTCACACTAGATTTGGAGGTTGCTATCCTTACTCCAAGGGGATATTGTTGAGCTTCTACAGATCTCAACTTCTTTGGGCATTTCTATGACTTCTATTTTAAAAAATGTTGAACATGTTGAAATCATGTGTACAGTTCCCAAATCCTTGATTTTCATTTGCCTTCATTCTGGTCTGTGCTCAAAATGGCTTCCTGCTGTGTTGATAGGACAGGCAGAGATTGTTCTGTCTTCTTCATTATTGCTTCCCTGGTGGTTAGTTAGCCCTATAAGTGGTACAAAATAGGCTCTACAGGTATTTGTCAGTAGGCACCATGGCCTCTTCCATGGCTTGCCTTGTGTTAGAATTAACGCTTACTCTGCCTTCCAGCACTTATGCCGAAAGCAGCAGGTTTGCGGCAGGCTGAGTGCTTGCTTTGTCATAAGCTCCCACCATGAGCCAATCCTATAACAGATATTGCGACCCAAACTAGAAGACAAAAATGATGGCCAAATAAAACCTGCAAAATCTCTGTTTGGAGGGGGGTAAGTTTCTGAGAACTTTAATGGCCATCAAATCCCCATGTTGTCCTTTATATTTTGGACACTTTAAAGACATTTGGAAGTCATCATTTACGCACAGCCAGAGATGTGTCTAACTTCCCGGAGAAATGAGATGGGGTCTTTGAGGGCAGGAGAGAGCCACTT